TATGTTTCTGTAGAACCACACTCTTAAATAAACTTTTCTTTATGAACACTGTCGAAGTGTTCAGTCTTTAGAATTTTTTTTGAATTAATATTTAGCACATGTCCTAGGATCAATCTGATCGATCCTGCGAGACACCAAAGTTAGATTTGGAAGATCAGTGGTTGTTTTCCAATTTTCACGGAAAACAGGTGTACTGTAGGACAATTCCACATTCCTCTAGGTATTTGGCAAAAGGCCCTTGACGTTGTTCACCTGAACCGTCATATCTACCATAATATTCACCGTCACGTTCGAATTTGACTTTCTTAATTTTTTTGGTCAAGTTTATTCTCAACTTCAGCCTTAAACGATTTGAACACATTCAATGACTAAGACTTTTCATGTATAAGAAATATGTATGAATATTAGAATAATCGTCTATGAATGATATAAAATATTATTGACCATTCCAAGAAGGTGTCGAAAATGGTCCACAAATGTCTGTATGTATCAATTCTAAGACACCTGTAGCTATATATGCACCAAATTTCTTTGTTTTGGTCTGTTTTCCTTTAACGCATTCAACACAAACATCAAAGTTTGTGAAGTCAATGGAATCCAAAATTCCATCTGACACTAGTCGCTCAACTCTATTTTTAGAGATGTGACCTAAGCGTTTGTGCCATAATGCTCCTGAATTGTTATACTTAATTTTACGCTTAGTACCACGTGATTCCATATTCAAAGATTCACCATAGGTAGCTATTGTGTCAAGAAAATATAGTTTGTCATGACTCATGAGTGAACCAGTTCCGACAATATTTGAATTGAAAGACAACTTGAACATATTGTTTCCAAATGAACAAAAATAAACTGATTTGTCCAAATAAGAAACTGAAATCAAATTCCGTCTAAATGACGGAACCACAAAAGTGTCTTTCAAATCCAAATAAAATCTGGTACATATTAATAATCTAAAATGCCATATAGCTTCCACCTTCACCGACTTGCCATCTCCAAGATAAATGTATCTTTCAATATCATTTGGCTTCCGGTAGTTCAGGCAACCCCTCATTGAAACACTGATGTTAGTAATTGCACCCGAGTCTAACCACTGAGTGTTTCCAGGTACTAAAGCTAAATTGACCTTAGAACAAGGCAAACCATGACTCATGTGATTGGAGCGATCCCACTTCTCATAATCTTTCCTCTCTTCAGAGGTATCAAATTCCATAGGAGAAGGAGGTTGCCTCATCCTTAATGCAAGATCAAGATCCATGCAGGCAAGAAAAATTTCCATGTTCTCGTTTCAATCCTTAAAATATATCCCATTTAGGACCAGAGCCTTGTTCATATTAGTAGATATTTAAGCAATTTTAGCTGAAAAAAGAATAAAAAACAAAATTTTTAAATATACTCACATAAATAAAAAATTGAATCATCAATGTTGTTCAAATAAAGACATAACCCATCTCAAGATACCCAATGCACCGCCAATATCAAGTCTTTGGACAGTAATATCGACTGCTAGTGGTACTCTTGTCGTAACGATCAAACATTGATAATAAAAACATGTTGAATAATAAATTCCTCTTTGAATTGATTTATTATTCACATGCAGAACTTCATAATTATCACATGTTTATCATCACAGACGCGTATGAAAACCGGCCAACCACCAATTGTTCTTTGGGCCAATTGATACTCACATGGACAAACATACACACAAACCATAAAAATATTTAACATTTTTCATAAGCAATTGCCTTAAAAGAGGTCGCTCTAGCGACTTTTTCATTTCAACTACTTACCTAAAAAATATTAAATTACATACATTCCGTAGCCAAATTCGAACAAAATTTAACAAAAAAATAAAATAAAATAAAATCCAAATAAAAAACACCAATGCATTTTATTGAACTGTTATGACATTATACTAAGTTTAATTTTAAAACATAAAATCACATATATTATTTATAATAAATAATAAATAATATAAAAAAACATATAATTCTTTTAAACCAAAAATAATTTATAATGCAGTTATTAAAAAGAAAATTAATCCTTATTTTTATCCTTATACATCGCACAAACAGACTTGCAGAAAAAAATTCAACAGAATTATCAACAAATTAAAATTCTAATAATATTATCTTTAAAACATTAAAAAAAAAATGTTATATATATATATATATATATATATATATATATATATATATATATATATATATATATATATATATATATATATATATATATATATATATATATATATATATATATATATATATATATATATATATATATATATATATATATATATATATATATATATATATATATATATATATATATATATATATATATATATATATATATATATATATATATATATATATATATATATATATATATATATATATATATATATATATATATATATATATATATATATATATATATATATATATATATATATATATATATATATATATATATATATATATATATATATATATATATATATATATATATATATATATATATATATATATATATATATATATATATATATATATATATATATATATATATATATATATATATATATATATATATATATATATATATATATATATATATATATATATATATATATATATATATATATATATATATATATATATATATATATATATATATATATATATATATATATATATATATATATATATATATATATATATATATATATATATATATATATATATATATATATATATATATATATATATATATATATATATATATATATATATATATATATATATATATATATATATATATATATATATATATATATATATATATATATATATATATATATATATATATATATATATATATATATATATATATATATATATATATATATATATATATATATATATAGGGTCTTGTTAACCATTGCCCTCAGGGTACTATTTAAACATTTCATATTAAGAAATTATTCTTTAAAAAATTCAAACACTTCCATTTTCAATGCACATACTTTTATAAAAACTTACTATTTAAAGTTTTAAAAAGTGCCCTTAGGGCACTGGTTAGCATTTCCTATATATATATATATATATATTATGTGTATTGTTATGAAAAACATTTAATTTTAAAAATGAAAATGATCATCATTATCATCAAAATATATTAGGTAATTATAAAAAAATTATATATTAAAATAATTACTATTGAAAATATTTAAATAAAATTTTATACAAATTTGTTAACTTGTATTTTTGTTATAGGTTCTTTTGATTTTCGATAAATCATTAAGTAATAATTTAAATTTTAATACTACTTTTTTAAAATATACAAATTGATACCTGTCAACAAACTTTGAAATGATATTTTACTTTATATAATTTTGAAAAAGAAAGAATGCCTATTTTATATATAGTGGTAAATTTTTTTAGTATAAATGAATATTTTATCTTAATGTTTTTTTAGAATGGAAATTTATATTTTGAAATATCATTAGGATTTCCTTTTTATATTTTAAAGATATATGGATTTAGTTATGTAACATAAATAGTAATAATATTTTATACTATATCATAATCTTTATTCTAAATATTTTTTAGAATGGAAATTAATACTTTTTTATTATACTTAGAAATTTTTTAAAAATATATTTTTTTCTATAATATTATATATATATATATATATATATATATATATATATATATATATATATATATATATATATATATATATATATATATATATATATATATATATATATATATATATATATATATATATATAAAATAAGTATGTATGATAAATAAAAATAAAATTATTTAATATTTATTTATAATAATTCAAATGTTAGTCAAAATAAAAATTTGAATGAGTATTAAAATGGAAATGGAAATACCACAAAAATAAAATTATTTACAATATAATATTAAATAATAAGCTTCAAAATTTAGTCATGATAATAATATTTTAATAAAATAATTAAAAGATCAAGATTAAAGGAAGGTTCAAAGAATAGTTGAAAGTTAAAAATAAAAATAATTTAATTTTAATGTTAAAATTATTAATTAACATGACATTAATGGTAATTTTACTACCGACCTAAATAAATAATCTATAACATATATAAAGGCAATACTTAATTTTTGGTGTAGTTTTTTTTTATACCAAATTTACCCTTATTTTAAAATATATAACTTACACAATAACTTCCATTGAACTACTAATATCATCTTTCATATAATTCTCTACTAATAACTTCCCTCATAACTTTCATATAAAAGTAATATTAAATAAAAATATATCATTTATATTTATATGTATGCAATAAAAAAGCGGACAGACGGACACGCGAGTGCCAGTCTGAACGCTAGTAATAATAATAATATTATTATTATTATTTATTTAATATTATATATTTTATAGAATGTCTTAGAAATATTATATATTTTATAGAATGTCTTAGAAAATAAATACAATGTTTTTTTTTGTGTGTGGGTACAATGTAACGTTTTTACCCTTGAGCTAACAGTCCACCCTGGTTATATTATTATGGTAAAATATTTTATATCTCTTCATACTTATTAACCATTATATTCTGTCTATCTCACCGTAAACTATCGTCTCTTTTTCATTTTTTTCGTAATAAAAAAAGTCTATAAAACTCCTAAACACACTCTACTTATGTTTGTTTGACCCACTTCGACTCTAGAGAGAGAAAGAGAGAGTAGCATTTGGATTTCGTGCCCAACTTCCGCATTCTTTTTCTCTCTCTACATTTCCCGTTTCCATTTCCTTCCTCTTCATTTCTCACTTTCTCATTCTTTTTTCTGCTCCAGGGTTTTTCTCTTCTCTCATTTTCTCTCTTCTTACCTTCGATTCTTCTCTATTTCTCTCTCTCATTTTTTCAAATTATTTTCCCTCTCAATTCCTCTTAATAGGGATCAACCACCGCTGTTACGATCAGTGTCGTTGTATCTCTGACGATGGAATTCATAGGAAAAACCATTCACAAAGAGGTGCCAGGGGTTGGGATTGTGTCCGGAACTGTGAAATCTTTCGACTCTTCGTCGGGTTTTCTGAAGATCCTTTTCGAAGACGGTCATTGTGACGAGATGGAAATTTCCGAAGTTGCTCCGCTCTTGGAAATTCAACCGGAGGTGCCCAAGGTCAAGGCGCGGGTCGGTCGGAAACCTAAGAAGCGACGGCTGCTTGAGCGGAGTGGCGGAGCGACATCGTCTTCAGGTAATGTTACTGATAGTTTGGTGGCGGGTAGTGATTTTAGCGGGGTTTTGAATGGGGATGGTATTAGTGGCGGGAATGAAGGGAATCTTAGGGGTAGTGTGAATGGAACTAGTGGGAGTGTGGAAAAACTAGGAAATGGAAATGGAAATGGGTTTGGTGGAGATGCGATTTTGAATTTGAATGAGGCTGTATCGGATGATAATAATAATAATAATAAGACTAATGGAATTTTTGTTAAAGATGATATTGATTTAAATTCCGGGCTTAATTTGAATGAGGATATCAATTTGAATGATGTGTCTGAATCACCTTTTAACAATGAGGGTGATTTGAATAGAAAAGATGGTATTGATTTGAATTTGGATGTGAATGTAAATGTGAATGTGAATGATGAGGTGGGTGTGAATTTGGGTGAGGAAACTTTGCGGCGGGAATGCAATTTTGATTTGAACGTGGGGGTGTGTGAAGAAGCTAAGGATGCTCAGGGTTGTGCTGATGGAAATGGATATTCTGAGGTAGATTGTGAGATGGGACAGCTGGGAGAACAAGAGTCGGATGTTAAGCATAGGTCTTTGGAAGTTGATGATGTTCGTGGTAGTTTGAATTGTGCCTCTGATGCTATCAAATTGGAGGAAAAGGAAGTTGATGGTTCTGTTTCCCTCGAAGCTGGTGTTGTTGCAGTTAATGAATACCAATCTGATCCTGGAAGTCCATGCAAACAAGGAAGTAGTCAGAGGAAGAGAAGAAAAGTGTCGGATAATATAAAAGCTACCCCGGACACAGCCTTGAGGAGGAATTCTCGCCGGACATCAGCTAGAAAACTAGCTTCAACTGCAGTATCAGAGCAGGTCACTGACGATCCTCTGTCGTCCTTGGAAACCAGTGTAGTAGAAGAAAAACCTTCAATACCTGAAAATGAGAAATATGAACAGTGCAGTATTCCTATACCAAAGCTGCAATTACCCCCTTCTTCCAAAAATTTGAATTTAGATGGCATTCCTGTTCTTGAGTTTTTTTCTGTTTATGCTTGTTTAAGATCATTCAGTACCTTGTTGTTTTTGAGTCCATTTGAGCTGGAAGATCTTGTAGCTGCACTTAAGTCTGAAACCCCTAGTGTATTATTCGATAGCATCCATTTTTCTATTTTGCAAACTCTGAGAAAGCATTTGGAATTCCTTTCCATTGAGGGTTGCCAATCTGCATCCACTTGCCTGAGGTATATTTTATTTTAATTTTTCATTTTATTACCATGCCAATAATCTGTTCTCCATTTTTATATGTTTTCTTCAATGCAGGAATCTTAACTGGGATTTCTTGGACCTTGTAACATGGCCAATGTTCTTGGCCGAGTATCTTCTGATTCACAGTTCACAATATAAAACTAGTTTTGATGCTAACCTCTCAATATTGGTAACTGACTACTACAAACAACCTGTCATTTTGAAGCTTGAGATTCTTCAGTACCTGTGTGATGATATGATTGAAGCAGACACCATAAGGTCAGAGCTTAACAGAAGGTCTTTGGTAACAGAGACTGGTATGGGTATTGATCAGAATATTTATTTTGAGACTAGCAAGAAAAAGAAAGCTGTAATGGATGTTTCTGGAGGCTCTTCCTTGACTGAGGAGATGGTGGATGACACAACTGACTTGAACAGTGATGAATGTTGCCTTTGCAAGATGGATGGAAATTTAATATGTTGTGATGGTTGCCCTGCTGCATACCCATACCACTCAAGGTGTGTCGGGGTTGCAAGCGACAATCTGCCTGAAGGTGACTGGTATTGCCCTGAGTGTGCTATTGGCAAACATCAGGCATCGATGAAATCACGAAGGTCACTCCGAGGAGCAGACTTGTTGGGGATGGATCCTCACGGCTGTCTTTATTTTGATAGTTGTGGTTACCTGTTAGTGTAAGTGTAGCTATGCCTTTTTTTCTGAATAAATTTGCGTCATAGTTTGTTCATCTTTAGTTTTCTTAGCTAGCAAAGTTTTTATTGATAAGTGACAAAAAATATGGGAAGTGGCCTATGAAAAATGTGAAAAATGTGTTCTATGTGAAAAATGTAAAGCACGTTACATGTTGAAAGCATCACCTAACCTCTCTGCTTTGTCTAACATATTTATATTTATTTATAACTTTAGATGTATTAATTTTATTTTCCTGTTTAAACATTTGCAGTTCAAAGTCATCAGATGCGGGGTCCTTGTTCAATTACTACCATGTAAATGATATACCTGTTGTGATTGAAGTTCTAAAATCCATGGATACTTTATATGGAGACTTATTAATGGCTATCTACAAGAATTGGGATATTCCGGATGAGTTAAATGCAGGGGCTACTAATTTGGCAGTCTTTAATCGAAGTTCATTCAAGAACATGCAAATGACGGCTAACTATTATTCTACGTCCACATCTTTAGCACCTTTTACTTCTTCAGTAACATTTATGGACAAGAATCTAGTTGATGATCAGAAAAAGTTGGAGACAAATTTAACTATTGACTGTTGTACTCATGATGGCCAAGAGTTTCCAAAAGCTGGGAACCAATTAGACTCAACAATAGAAAGTCCTTGTATTGCCTCAGAAGGATCAGCTGATACAGCACAGATGAGATCTGGCATTAAGAGTATTCAGATCCACAGGCTATACGATTCCAATAGATCAGATGAATCCTTAAATCAATCAAGAATACCAGAAAAAGACTTCCCCGTTGGTGACTGTTCTTTGGCATCTTCCAGACTAGATGGGGAACATAATATTAAGTTAAGATCCACAGGTGTTAGCAGTACCCCCTATATGGGCAATAAGGATACATCACAAGCACCTTATGGGACTGACTACATAAACTATTACAGCTTTGCAAGGATGGCCTCATCAGTTGGACAGGAGTTGATGTGTAAGTTATCTGAAAAGATCAATAGAAATATTATAGTGACTGAAGAAGAAATAATTTCAGACCAAGCAAAGTCCATCATTAAGAAGTCCACCAATTTTTGTTGGCCAAGTATTCAAAACCTGAATGCAGCTTCCCACAAGGAAAAATGCGGATGGTGCTTTTCTTGCAAGGTTGCAAATGATGACAGAGATTGCATATACCTTTCTGCAGTGAAACCACTTTATGAAGTGTCTAAAAGTACTTCAGTTGGGCCTCAACCCAAGATCCAGAATGGACATCTTAGAGAGATAATATGTCAAATTTTCTCTCTCGAGGTTCGATTGCGAGGTCTTTTATCGGGTCCATGGTTGAATCTGCATCAAACCAATCTTTGGCATGAGGATCTTTTAAAGACATCTGATCTTCTTTCTGTTAAACGATTATTGCTTCTTGTAAGGATTTACTCTCCCTCTCTTTTTTCAAGACATCAATAGTATGATTATCTCATGATAACTCGTTTGGCATAATTGATCAGCTCATTTCTAAGTTCTTTTTTGCTGTTCAGAGTTAGTGGAAATTCAGTAAAAAGGAAATTAAAAAAAAAACAATTTTTTTTTTAAAATTTAAATATAGTTTATCGTTGCATGTGAGTGCGTGGTTGAGATTTGATCTTTGATTGTGCCAAAGATTCCAACGTTTAAGGTACACTCATAAGATAGGATCAAAGCTTATCATATCTTTATCATACCCCTCTTTTATTCGACTCTCTTATCATATCCATTTTATCATGTCAATTAAACAGGGCCTAATTTTATTTTAATGTCCAACGTTGTAATTTTGAATTATGCAGTTGGAATCCAATTTGAGACATCAATCACTTTCAGCCGATTGGTTAAAGCATGTGGATTCTGTGGCTACTATGGGATCAGCTACTCATATTGTGGTGGGTTCATCACGCACATCCTCAAAGCATGGTATTGGAAAGAAAAGAGCCAGACATTCAGATATTGAACCCAGTTCATCTTCAAAAACTACCGGTGGTTTGGGAATGTATTGGTGGAGAGGTGGTAGGCTTTCTCGAAAGTTGTTTAATTGCAAGGTCCTGCCTCGCTCCTTTGTTACCAAGGCTGCTAGACAAGGTTTGCAAATTGTTCTGTTTAGTATATCACTGGTGGTGGTTGTGTTATTCATCTTAATAATCATTTTGAATTTATTTGGAAGTTTGAAATTCTGCAGCTGGGTTTACAAAGATACCAGGTATTTTATATCCGGAAAATTCAGACTTTGCTAAGAGAAGCAGACATGTTGCCTGGCGAGCTGCTGTTGAGATGTCAACAAGCGTTGATCAGCTGGCTTTACAGGTATGATTTTATTACTTGCTGATTGCTCTTGGCATCTGACTTTACCTGAGCTCCTGGTGTTATTGAGGCCCTTTCATATGCAGTTTTTTATTGTTGTAGTTTGATTATTGGAGACACTCTGCATATTTTTGTACTTTATTGTTGTAGTTTCAATGGCAATTACAATGTAAAGACATTAACTCTTTTAGGGGCAAATGTTAACATGCCTTTTCTGCTATATTTATTTATTTATTTATTGGCAAATGCTATGTTAAGAACCAAATCTAGAAATATAATCTTTGAAATTGTGTATTTAATATTGTGAGAGTTTAAGATTTTTGTTTTAGACTCAAAACTTGTCTTTTAATTCCTTTTTGAGTTAATTAACAATTGCCCTTAGGGCACAAGTTAGCAAAACCCTTTTTATTTCAATCTTGCATGTTCTATAATGGCAACTGTTGTTTCTTATTGTATTTATGTACATAAATAAAGAGATGGGAATGCTGCCCCAAATGATGCTTGGTATATTATTAGTCAATCAGTTGTCATATATTGTTTTTTGTTGCAAAATGTTGCAAGTTTCAATATGATATTGCTTGTAATGTGTTTTTTCATTTTATTATTCATTGTTTTTGAGCAAAGGGATTTCCTATATATATCCAAAGGAAGTCACAGTTCATGTTCAACTATTATTATTGAGGAATGAGGATTGTTTAGATTTAAAAACTGGTTTTTCCAAAAGAAACCTCTTCCTTGTAGAGTATGATTAAGAAAATATCTTGGTTGTTTTTGCTGTATCCAAATGATTGTGAAAAAAAGAGAACAGCCTGTAATCCAAGATAAACTATTCCACATTTTCAGGTTAGAGAACTCTACTCAAACATAAAGTGGCATGATATTGAGAATAACCATCCCTTATATGTGCTGGACAAGGAATCTAGAAAATCATCCAAGCTATTCAAAAAAGCAATTGTGCGTAGGAAGTTGCCAGATGGACAATCTGTGAAATATCTTCTAGATTTTGGGAAGAGGAGGGCTATACCGGACATTATTACTAAACACGGTTCTTTATTGGTGGAGGAACCCGAAAGTGAGAGGAAGAAGTATTGGCTGAACGAGTCTTATGTTCCTTTACGTCTTGTAAAGAATTTTGAGGAAAAAAGAATTGTCCGCAAGTCCAATAATAAGAAACATGGAAAAACTCTTGGGATTGATAGAGTAAAGAGGGCTCCTCAACAAAGGGGATTTTCATATTTGTTTTCTAGAATGGAAAGATCTGTTTGTTATCAGTGCGAGCATTGCAAAAAAGATGTTCCAACCAGGTATTTGCAGTATTCAATTATCTGGACATGTTTTGAGGATTTTCTATTTTAGTATTTCATCTTGTTCATGGTGTTTTTTGTCTTAATTTAGTTGAGGATTAGACTCGTATTTTCTTAGTTTATGACGAGATTCCTTTCTTTATTAGCCAAATCTTCTTTTACCAAATATCATTCCAATTCTGATATTTGAACCATAGTTCAATCTTGGATACTAGTGGTCTGTAAGAAATATATACCTGTGAAGTAAATTTCCTAGTATTTTTTTGTTTTTTGTTTTTGACTCACCTAGAATCAATATTAAAACTCATTTAATGATTAATCTAATATTTCCATTTTAGCATATATTACCTGCATGTGTATGATGAAAATGGTATATTCTTGTTCCTCTAACATCAGCTTTTAATTAATGTTATGCATATAAACCAGTATGCTGTTGGACTGCATAAGGTTTATAATTGTTAGGATAGTTTGTGAAGAACGATTGTTCAAGGAAGTAGAACAGTTAAGAATTAATGGATTGATTTGATACTTCATATTACAAATTGAGGATGATTTGATACTTAACATTACAAACTAGCTTTTTTATTTTTTGATTTAACCCTACACGGGCCAACCCCTGCAGGCATTTATCACGTAGATATGCGGCCTATTATATTCTGGCAACATCAAGGTTTTGTTTGTATTAGGGTTTGAGGGGCTACTCCTCCTATCTTCATTGAATTTAATGATATCCGTTTCTCCTGTGGACTGAATAATTAGTTATGGTTCTAACCATGATTATTTAATACATTTAGAGTTACCGTAGAATTGAATTTCATCCTTTCTTGTACTTTTTCCCCTCTTAATAAATTCTCAGTTTATCAATATATATGTCTGGTTGTCTGTGGCCAAATTCACCAGTGAGAGATTTGAATTCTTGTTTTATACATTTTTCTATCTTTGTTAGTTACTTATCACAGGTGAAGGTTAAGTGCTCAGAGATATTTTTGCCTTATTATTGTTAATTACTTTATTTGATACTTCTAACTTTTTCCTTCTTACATTGGCAGGGAAGCTGTGAGTTGCCTTTATTGCAAAGGTGTGTTATCGTCTTATTTATATCCCATGATTTTCTTCTTCCTCATCAATTTCGATTTTCAACCCGTGAATTGTTTATTTGTCTCATAAATATTTGTTATTCTTCTATTATTCCATTTTTAGCCCATAACTTCTATCTCACCAAATCTGAAATTGTCATTTATATCTCCTACCACATGGACAGCATCGCCATATTTTCCTGTCAATTTGTCTAACCTGTTTATCAACCTTTTCTATGTTATACTGTGTAACTTCAAGATTAGTGATTAAAGTTGTCTTATATACAACAAGCACCTTTCTTGGTCATACATAATCTTAAAATGTAAAAACAAAATAAATTTCACTAAGATTGGTTCAATTACTCCCTCCCTTCCCTTCCCACATACTAAGTTACTTTTTTCAACTTTCAAGTATTTTTTAAAAATTATTCAAAATTGTAGGTTTTATTCAACCAAAATCAAGATCGGAAATGGGCTGAGATGAGTGTGATCTATGCCGGGGTCGTGCTCTATTCATTATGAAAACAAGTTCATTTGTTGGTCCAAGTTTGACTTATTTGTCTCAGCTCCCGAGTAACTTGAGCTCAATGAGCTAATATGGAATTTTCTATTATTAATGTTTTGTTAAAATATAATTCATTTATGTAAAAATGAAGCCAAAGTCTAGTATGTAATAGGTTTGTTGTTGTTATTGCTATTATTATAATATTAAGATCCCACATCGGCTAATGATATGACCAAAGTGTTCTTTATATGATGTTATTTTGGATAGGCAAAAGTTAATAATTTGTTGTTAGGTTAGTATTTTTTCTCTCTCATCGGTTAAAACCCGGTTCCTCCAACTCCTACAAGCCTTAGCTCAGATTAGCTGAGCTACCCACCCGAGTCTTTTTAAGATGTTGAAACAAATAATTATATTAATATCTATTTCTTTGGTGTTTAATATCCAGTTCTGAGTGTACTCTTAAGGATATCTGCAAATTAGATACCAATCCATGATTCTTTTCATTGTCTGGTGATGATTGTGCTGAGAAGTTCTCTCTTAACTTCTTTAACTAGAGAAGTAGTTTGTGCATGTATGTGTTGATATGTTTTGGTTATTTGGTATTTGTTTTATGCCACTTCATCTTTGAAAGTTGGGTATTTTTCATGAACAGTATTTGCACTTCGATATCTGACTAGTTATTTTATGATTTGTAGGATATTTTCACAAGAGGCATGTCAAGAAATCTGGCGGCACAACTACTGAATGCACATATTCATGTCACAGATGCCAGGATGGGTTGGAAGTAAAGACTAATACTAATGGAAGGAAAGTTGGCACAAAACTGCTGAAGATTCAATCACAAAATTGTAAAAGTGATCCATTGGTCTGTAAATCAGCAAATGTTAAAGGCAATAAAAAGGCATCAAATAAGGTGCGGAAGGTAATATCTCAAAACAATAAGAAGATCCAATCAGTTGTACCTCTTCGTCGTTCTACTAGAAAAGTCAAATCCATATATTCGCGCAATCAAATGATGGGAGGATATAAAAAAGGAATGCAGAGTAAAAAGAATGTAGGGCGTAAAAAAGGAAAGCACAGTAAATCCAAGAAGGTGACCTCACAAAAGTCCAAGAAAACTACTGGTCAACACAAGACGTGGGAAGTAACTATTGCACGTGAGAAGAGATCAAAACATTTTAGCAGTTACTGGCTTAACGGTCTTTGGTTTTCTAGAAAGCCAAATGATGAACGAGTAATGCTTTTTGAAGCGAAAAAGCATACTATCTCCGCTGTTATTTCTGGTTCCTTTGATTATCCTAAATGCCGCCTTTGTTTTGGAGATGAATCTACTTCAAATTATATTGCTTGTGAAAAATGTGGAGGTAACTACTTTTCTTCCTTCATGTTGATATTTCTTCCTTTTGTTCTAGTAAGTGAGTGGGGAATGGAAAAGCTATTTTATGTTACAAGTAACTATTTTAAATGTCAGTATACTAAATGAAATATGTTGTATAAGCATTAGAGCTGTTTCTTTTAGTTGTAAGATGACTAAGCATTTTGAACAAGTACTAGATTTTTTGAACATACAATGCTATTTTGCAGATTGGTTTCATGGGGATGCTTTTGGTCTCACCGAAGAGAATGCTAGTCAACTTATTGGGTTTAAGTGCCATGTTTGTCGTGGAAGGGATGCTCCAATCTGTCCACATGTAAAAATTAGTGCATTGTCTCACATTGAACCCAATGCCGCAATTGAGCATGCAGAGGAATGATCTAATCGTGTTTCTCTCTAACCTTCGAGTGAGGTATGTGTTGTCATTTCCTATTATGATTTTTTTTTTGAAAAGGATTTATTGTTATGATTTGATATCTCGTATAGTTTTTTTATCAAACTAACCAAATGTTTTATTATCATTGCAATAATAGATTGTAGTTAAAAAAGTGCATTTGATAGTCAAATTTAAGCATGGTTAATATTAGTTATGTTAGTTTTCAGTGAATAGGAGATATTGCCAATGGTTACGACTCACAGCTAATGATGGGAAGCTGGTGTGACTCAACTAATTCATCACTAATACTCCTGCTCCTTATAATAAGAAAAAGTTCACTTTTTAGAAACATTAAATAATCAATATATTTCGTTTATATATAGTCCAATACGTTGAAGTGAATTTTTTCTTATAATAAAGACCGGATGGAGTATTTCACAATCAAGGATATTGCTAGAAATAACTTGTGTGCAAAATTTGTAATATTTGTTTATCTTCCTTTCAGGCGTAATGATTTGCTTTGACAGGATGTGAGTGGACACCAGATGCTGGCTCCTAGAGTAGTTTTCTACCTGCAAGAATCTGGTGGCAAATGTTTATTTTAGTTGTAAAAAAAAGAAATATCTCATTTATGTAGCTGTAAGAGGAAAGATTGCTTTGCTGGCTTCTGCTCTGATGCCTTCTGTTTCAACCTTCTTGGCAAGAGAGAAGAATAAAGAAACTACAAGCATGATATGCAGAAAGACTGAGGATAGTTACAATCAGGATACAAATTGAATTTATACATCAATTGCATTCATTGTAGTATCATTTTTTTTTTAAAATTTTAAATTTAGGATTTTTCCCCCTCTTGAATGATTCCTTTCAAATCAACTTTGATAGGAATCAGTTTATAAACCTCAACTGATTTTAGCAAATGGAATGTTAATCATGGTAGATAGAATACTGGTATGCTAGAGAGGTTTTTGCTAGTTTTCCATTTTCAGACTAGTAAACCTTGAAGCATGGGGAGTTATAGGAGTTACTTTGGATTTTTTTTTAATAAGGAATTTACTTTGGATAGTACTCGCATTTGGAAATTATTTTGGTCTTTTATGTTCAAACCCCCCCTGCCGCACCCAAACACACATACTTACTGTTTAAATGTGTTAAGTAACTTCTCTTAAAAAAATGGATAGATCATTTTTCAAAAAATGATTTTTCTTACAACAAATGAAGATAACAGTTCAAACGAACATAATGTTGGTTTATTTTAGATTACACAATCCAAACAGGAGGCATATGAATATGATATCTGGATTCCGAATTAAGTGTTTCCTGAAGAAATCTTGTTTTAAAATTAAATTGATACGCATTGTTTTAGATGTTGACTCCCCTAATGAAATTTTTTGTTTCCTGGAGCAACTTTCACAAGTATATGATGTTATGTAAAAGTTGATGTTCTGCCTTAAGTTGTCAAGAAAAAAGTTATCGATACGATCGTATCTTTAAATACATATGATTTAATTGTCATAAATACGCAGGATATTAGTTGTTAGTCAATGATTGAGATGAAATTTATTTTTTTCACCAAGATTAATAGTTTCTAAATTACATTCACTGCAAAATTGTGGTAGTTCGCAATTTTGATCATTTAATTTATACACGACTGAGTATCCATTTTGAATTCCATGTATTGTATAGTTGAGTTAGTATTCTGTTGTGAAATTTTTTGATATTGATATGGACAATAACTGTAAAAAGGAACTATTGGATATATGAATTATTATATTTATAATATAATTATATAAGAAATAATAACTATAAGCATTCTTGAATTAAAAAATAACGGTTGAATTCATGGAGAAAAAAAAACAGAGACACATTGCTTGACATAACAACTCTCTCAAACTCTTTATTTATTAATTATTATTATTATTATTATTATTTGAATTAGGATGGATTAAAAAGAAAGAACAACTACAGAAATAAAACGGGAGTGAAAATCCTAGCAACATCATTCGAAGTGATGACAATAAAATCAATCGGACAATCTTCATATATCCTCATACCTAATTCATGATGCAAACTCTTGTTAGCCGTATCATCTACAAAGTGGTTGGCTTTACGATGCACACGTGAAAGATTATGACATGTCTCTCTTCAATTAAGCAATTTTGAATCTACTTAAATAGACTATTACCTTTCTTCACTATTGTGGAATTCTTATTAATACTATCAACAATGTTTTTATTATCTGGTAGTAACTTAATCTTCGAGAATCCTTTTTCAAGAGTTAATTTAAGATCCTCAAGCACACTCCACATATCTATTAAAAAAAATATTACGAATTTCAATATTCTTGGAGAAACCACCTAACCATCTGCCTAGGGAGTCGCGAATTAAACCACCACAGCTAGCTCTCTCATTTTTCTTCACAACACCATCCATATTAATTGTAATATAATTCTTCTACGCAAGTCTCCATCTAATGCAACTCAAGTTCTGATTTGGAAAATTCAGTTTTCGCTGCAGCTCAAAACTCACTTTGTAGTGTTGAAATATTTTCTTGATATCATTAGCCAACACAGTCAGAGTAATGAAATTCGCATCATAAATATTCTTATCGCACCAATATCACAATGAATAACATATTGTAGTCCAATGAGCATTCGAACCTTCTAAGTTTTTATGACCGTAATTGTTCTACAGGTTCATTCACGTTTAAACTTGTAAACCTGCATTAAAGAAAATGTTCAAGCACAACTCTCTAACAAGCGAAAGTCAAACAAGCTTTTCAATTATAGGTAATAACTCTAAGTATGAGTAATGATTTTTTTGTGTGCTGAAAACTATGCTGAGCAGACGTTTGACAAAAAACGCAATGTTGACGCTGACGTCAGCAATTGAGTTTTCAAATACTATAAAAAAATTATTTTAAAAATACCACTTTTCTCCTTTTAATTGAAAGGGAAGTTGAAACATGGTATTTTGGGGGGAAATTTGTTACCTCGAATTTTTGACACAATCCTTGATTGTAAGGATATGACAAGTTTTGACTTGTTTGATGATTTGAGTTTATAACCTAGGTCGAAGTGGTCAGCTACGACCATGGAATTGAAACTTGCATTTTGAAAAATTTGTCTTGTCGAAAGATAATGCTAATTTTGGTCGAATTTCCAAGTAGTTAGTTAAAGACCAGAGACTTTTTAGTTTTAGGAATTGGTGAAATTTGGAATTCTTAAAGTGATGTTATTCTCCACTTAGTTGAATAAGGCATAAACGGATAAGATCAGACAGCTATTCTAGAACATGTGGAAGCCTATCGAAAACGAAAATTGCATGGAGACGAAGATGTGGCATAATTTGTTGAGTCTCCCGTTGTAGATAGTTATGTTAGGACTAATATATAAGTAGTGTTCACTCACAGTTTTAGGGATATGCAATTGTACACAAATTCCATAAACTCAAAGTATCCAAGTGTTTAGTGAGAAAAGAGTTGTCTGAGAATGTATGTATTTGCGTTCCAATTTATAAATTAAATTTTTACTTTTAAAGTCATTTACTGCATTATCATTTATTGCATTGAAAACTATTTTTAAGTTTATTTTATTTTCGATTTCAATGTCAAACATGTTTCAAACTCATAATTTTTGCACAATATGTTCTGCGATTTTTTCGAGTTTAATTCCTTAAGTGAAATTAAACTTGTTTTATTTACCAAATTTCATAATAAACACAACGGTCCGTAATGAAAAGTTGAAAGTTGTCATTCCTTGATGGCGTTGGAGAAAGATTGCTCACTGACAAAGTTGAGAGTTGTTCAATATACGCTCATTTAATGGCAATTGCTCGAATAAGATATCAGTGGGATCATGGGGATTACCACACACAAATACTCGGAGTAGGTTATTGTGGATAATGTAACACTACATTAAAAATATTTAGCCATTGTGTATTGGTTGTGATTTTATTGACTTAATCTGTGATTAAAGGTGAGAGAGAGGAATTAGCCTTAATTGAGTAATATGAATAAAACTATAGAATAATATGATAATGATAATTAATTAATATATTATTATTATTATTATTATTATTATTATTATTATTATTATTAGTAGTAGTAGTAGTAGTAGTAGTAGTAGTAGTAGTAGTAGTAGTAGTAGTAGTAGTAGTAGTAGTAGTAGTAGTAGTAGTAGTAGTAGTAGTAGTAGTAGTAGTAGTAGTAGTAGTAGTAGTAGTAGTAGTAGTAGTAGTAGTAGTAGTAGTAGTAGTAGTAGTAGTAGTAGTAGTAGTAGTAGTAGTAGTAGTAGTAGTAGTAGTAGTAGTAGTAGTAGTAGTAGTAGTAGTAGTAGTAGTAGTAGTAGTAGTAGTAGTAGTAGTAGTAGTAGTAGTAGTAGTAGTAGTAGTAGTAGTAGTAGTAGTAGTAGTAGTAGTAGTAGTAGTAGTAGTAGTAGTAGTAGTAGTAGTAGTAGTAGTAGTAGTAGTAGTAGTAGTAGTAGTAGTAGTAGTAGTAGTAGTAGTAGTAGTAGTAGTAGTAGTAGTAGTAGTAGTAGTAGTAGTAGTAGTAGTAGTAGTAGTAGTAGTAGTAGTAGTAGTAGTAGTAGTAGTAGTAGTAGTAGTAGTAGTAGTAGTAGTAGTAGTAGTAGTAGTAGTAGTAGTAGTAGTAGTAGTAGTAGTAGTAGTAGTAGTAGTAGTAGTAGTAGTAGTAGTAGTAGTAGTAGTAGTAGTAGTAGTAGTAGTAGTAGTAGTAGTAGTAGTAGTAGTAGTAGTAGTAGTAGTAGTAGTAGTAGTAGTAGTAGTAGTAGTAGTAGTAGTAGTAGTAGTAGTAGTAGTAGTAGTAGTAGTAGTAGTAGTAGTAGTAGTAGTAGTAGTAGTAGTAGTAGTAGTAGTAGTAGTAGTAGTAGTAGTAGTAGTAGTAGTAGTAGTAGTAGTAGTAGTAGTAGTAGTAGTAGTAGTAGTAGTAGTAGTAGTAGTAGTAGTAGTAGTAGTAGTAGTAGTAGTAGTAGTAGTAGTAGTAGTAG